AATAATAATAATAATAATAATAATAGCATCTCCAAAGCCCATAACCAAACTCTATGATAAAATAATGTTTTATTGTTCTACTGCCCGCTCTATGCGTTTAAGAGGTGTGGGGGGGGGTACACCTGAAGGCTATCTCGCTTATTAGGGCACCGAATTGTACCATACATATAACAAGCATAGTAAGGAGTCTTAAAATCTGCAATCAAATTTGAGAAAAATGTTTCGTTTCCATGCATACGGTGGCCATATTGGATTTTTTTGAAAGTCTTACGTAATGAATACCGCACTTATCGCTGATGGAAATTGTTTGGGGGTTTTTTTTTGCATGCATGTCCTACCTGAGACATGTTCTTGTGACACCCGTTCCTGTACCAGCTGAAGGAACTATAGAGGAAGGGTCGCTCAAACTGGACATAAGCCGAGTGGTATCTGTGGGTGGCAAGAAGGAAGGCGTTGATGAAAAAAAAATGGTGAAATGATTATGGGTTTAAAGCCTCTATCAACACTATTAGGTTATTTAAGAGGTGGGGCTCCCGAGTTTAACGTTCATCTCCAAAAGGACTGAGTCAAATGGGAAGTTCGTGTAAAGTGCCTTTCCCATCGGACCGAGCTGAGCCTAGAACCTCCGAACCCGCAACCTCAAAGAAGACAGAGTAAATAAACCATGCATAATTGTATTTGCGAATGGGATGAGGACATAATCTATAAATTATATTATTGAGTTGTATCTATAAACGGCAATGGTGTTTCTGTAGATGGAATCGGGACATAGTTAATAAACCATGCGAAGATGGTCGGGAGTTCTACTCTTGCCCTTTGCAAGTGGACGAAAAAAAAAGATTGCTATAGGAATAAATCAGGTTATAAGCAACACGGAGAGAAGCTGAAACAGACCAAATGCCAACTAATCACCCCTAGCGGAGAAACGGAATAAATTTTGGGACAATAAAATGTCTATAGACATTGGATGAATGCACACAATGATAATAATATACTGATTGACATTTAGCTTAATGAAGTTAATAAGACAGTCTTGTTAACATATTATGGAATGATAGAAAAACAGGTAGGCTGACATTTAAGATAAAAATAGTAAAGGAAACTTTCAAAAATAGTTAATTGCAAACAATTACAATATTATATCAATAATAATAATACAATATATCATAGTATATACAGATGTATTCTACCCTACAGAAAGGATTTGTGGTCGGACAGTTGAACTGACGATAGGATGGAGGGATGGACGGGTGGATGATTAAGATTTTACCACCATGCTGCAGTTTCAATTTTTTAAAAATCTGCATGACAGCAACTGATAAAATAGTAAATGAAACGAAAATATGGAAATAACAGCAACTGATAAAAGCATAGCAAAAGAAACGAAAATATGGTAATAACAGCAACTGACAAAATTATAGTAAATGAAACAAAAATATGGAAATAACACAAATTATGACTACAAAAGTACCTGCTGTCTCTGTTGAACACCTTCTGCTTGGACATCTGCCTGGCGGACTTGAGTCTCCGGATGGTGTACGGCTTCATCAGGCTGTCATGGTGACGCATCAGCTCCATGTGGTCGCCTAGCAACATCACTTCCGGCTCTATCTTCAGCCGGGTGTCGTGTTGTGCGTGGATGAAGTCGAACCTGTGAGGGACAGCAGACAGAGAGGAAACACAATAGAAAACTTTCTTCTTTTTTTTTTTCTTTTCTTTTTTTTGGTAAGAGTTTTACGGCACTTGCAACACAATAAGGTGACACAAGTGTCGAAGATTAGAGGTGTTACAAGCGAGTAACAAACACAAAGTTTACGGTGAGTCCAAAGTTCAGAGCATGATAGAAAGTTTACAAGAAAAAGGGGTGGGGAGTGAAAATTAGCGGCAAAAACTAAAAGAAAAATTAATAACCAAGTATAGTAACATTAGGATCTAAACACTGATGAAGGAATGAATGAATGAATCAATCAATCAATGAATGAATAGCCGGCGTTCTTCATGCTATCTAGGTTATATACGAAGAAAAAGGTATGGTGAAAAAGTGAAAGGGGGGGTACATATTTAAGCATACATTTGAGGCTGCACCGAAATGTTCGTTTTGAAAATAATTCTTCTTGATTGTCTTGAATGAACACAACACCACCACCACTATCACCATAACCAACAATAGCAAAGACAAAATACAGAACAGGAACAACATGAATCGCAACAAAATAAAGTATTGTCTATAAGCAAGATAAGATAAGATAAGATACATCATAATTGTCCAGATCCTGGCACATTGTTTTGGTGTATCACCACGTACATACATATAATTATATATACACACACACACACACACACACACACA